TACTGAGGCTGGTCTTAAACTCCCAACCTCAAGGGATCCTCCTGCCTCAGCCTCCCAAAGTGCTGGGATTACAGGTGTGAGCCACTGCACCCAGCTACCTTATTAACCTTTTAAGAAAAATAGTAATAATATTATTTGAGCTCTATAAATGAAATATTCAATACACTAAAGGCAGTTTGAAAATTCTAATTACTGTTAACAGCTATAAATTCTATCTGGTGAAAGTGGTAATAAATTTGATTCCTTTTTGTGTTCATGGCCACAGTTTATTCCTCTCTGATACTCTTTTTTGCTCTTAAAAAGTAAATAAATATGTAAGAGCATACCTTTACTAATTCTTACATTTAAAAATATTTAACTCTATGCATGGGGTCTTCTCCAAGATTATGGCCAAAATACAGCTTATTTAGCCATCTAGTGTGCTAGACCTTTTCAGCATTCCCTTCCTCTTGTGAGGTTAAATAGCCTTGGTTTTTTTATATCACTATGACATACAGTTTTCTTAGTCATACTGGAAAGACTAGGGCAAATACAAATTTTGCAGCCAGAAAATTCTGTCCACCTAAGGCAGTACAGCAAGGTGTTTTAGAGCATGGTCTTATGGAGTCAGATAGCCTAGATTTAAATCAAGGATCTGCCACTTATTAGCTGTGTGATCTCAGGCAGATTCTTAGCCTCTCAATTTCCCCATTTGTAGAATGGGGATAATAGTAGCTACCTCACAGGTCTTTATGAGCATTAAATAAGTTAATATATCAAAGTGCTTAGACTAGAGCCTGACACACAGCAAGTTCTGTATAAGCATTTGCTGCTTTTTTTTTTCTTTCTTTTTCTGTATAATTTAGTGAACCAGAACCACAGATTTTGGATTTTCAAACCCAGCAGTATAAACTCTTTCCAGTACTGGCCACTGCCTATGCCTTCCAGTTTGTAGGAGCATACATGAAGGAGACCTATCATCGGATTAATGAAGGCATTGGCCAAGGGGACCTGAGTGAACTGCCTGAGGTATGTGTTTGGTCTCATTCACTTGTGAGCACCCTTCTGTTTCATCTTTGCCTATGGGGTAATGTCCAGAGAAAATTATGTTGGTATTGCCTGAAAAGAATTATATATTCGAAGAACTTTTTCTAATCAAGAGTGGATCAGATATCAAGATACGTGGTTTTTGTTTTTAAGTATTTTAAGTATTATCAGAAATACTGTGCCATGTTGGTCATTTGTCAATCAAAGGAACATAAGTGGTGGCTCTTTTGCCAAGTAGAACAGTTCAAAGGGGTGTGGGAATGTTATTAATTCTGCAGCCTAGTCAGACAACTGTGTTTGTTCAGTTTACATGTGTGGCAGCTGATTTTGACAGTGGCCAGTGCTGCCACAGGGGGGTGCTTGTTTTCACAGATGTTCTGACTTGTGCTTGTCTCCTCAGCTTCATGCACTCACAGCTGGGCTTAAGGCTTTCACCTCTTGGACCGCAAACACTGCTATCGAAGCATGTCGGATGGCTTGTGGTGGACATGGCTATTCTCATTGCAGTGGTCTTCCAAATATTTATGTCACTTTTACCCCACTCTGCACCTTTGAGGGAGAAAACACTGTCATGATGCTACAGACAGCTAGGTGAGAATCAAATTCACAGTTTCTACTAACTGTTCATAAGAATGTTCTAGTCCTTTTCACAGGTTCCTCTTCCCATGTTTTCTCTTTACCATATGTGTATATATACATATATTTTTTTCCCTGAAAAACACAATTTTGCCTTCCATCCTGACTCACTCTTTATTTTATGCTTAGACTAGCAAGTATGAAACATCTGTTACATAGCTTAAAGTCATTTCAAGAGTAGAGTTACTTGGCCGGGTGCGGTGGCTCACACCTGTAATCCTAGCACTCTGGGAGGCCGAGGC